GATGCGCGGGAGGGTAAGAGGATTCACAGAGACAGAGCCGGGAACAGAACAGGCAGGCTGACTGAACATACACTGCTGAGCAGCGGGCGAGACAGGAGAGGTCTGCCGCCATGTGGGATTCTCGCCGGCCAGCCGGCATCGAACCAGCTCTGCAGAGGCTGCTGACAGCTTCACAGCGCTGCGCTCAAGCACCTGCACCACCAGGGGAAGCCCTGCTTGTCTCTTGAGTCATCACAATTTGGCCTCCTATCTCTCTGGTGTTCTTGCACAATTTTCTTAACTGATTTTTCCCACTTTGTTTAATCTTTAAATATGAAGAGCCCTGGGTCTTGCTCCTGGACTTCTACTCTTCTTTACATTCCTTTTCTAGATGACCTCATCTGCATCATACTATTTAGAGCAAAAGGAAACTTTAGTTTTTTTGCTGACCTCTCTTAGGAGACCTCTCCTCTTGTATATCTCTAAATAATCCAAAGGTAGCAGAATTTTTATCTACTACCCAAGCCCTGCTACCCATTAAAAACTACTCCTCTCTTAGTCTTCTGTTTTATTATTCAAGTCAAAACCTAGGATTCATCCTAGATTCCTTTCTGTCATTCCAAGCATTCAAGCCATCAATACCCAGCATCTCTACCTCAAAATACAATCTGAACTCATCCCTTTTTGACTTTGTAAAAATAAAATGCCTTAAATATAATAAAATAAAAAGAATGCCTTCATTCTATGTTATTTGGCTGTTGGTTGGACAGAATTAAAAATTGAAAATAATTTTTTCCATCCTAGACATCATCTTTTGCCTGGGCTCCCAGGCAAAAGTGGTTCCCCTTGCTTCTCTTCTGCAATCTATATGTATATATTCTCTCCACGTTACTAAGGTAATCTTTTTTAAAGATACAAGCATGCTACACCTTGCCTTAAAACTCTCCAAAGGCTTTCACTGGCCTTATTATGACCCAGACTCCTTATCTTGGTTTCCAAGGACTTACACAATCTTTCTCTTTCCTAGCTCTTTAATCTCCCTCTATTCCTCCCTCTCTATACTACAGCCACACTGGCGTTTTTTTTTTTTTTTTTTTGAAGACCTGACAAGATCATTTCTATCATTGGATTATCACAGGCTTTTCCCCTTATTTGGAATATTCTCTTTCTTGTCATTAAAGCCTCAGCTTAAATGTCACCTTCTCAGACCATCTCTGATCACCAAGTACTTACCAAGTCACTTTCTTTTCATTCCCTGTTTAGAACCTAAAAATATCTGATTTTTACTCATTTTATTTATACATTTACTTGTTTAGTCTGCTCTCTCCTACTGGAATATAAACTTTATGACAGCAGGGATCTCATCTGTTTGTTCAGAGTTGTTTGTTCAGAGTTGTAGCTCTAGCACTTAGAACAATCTCTGCTAGGTAATTGATACTATAAACTTGGCCAGGAGATACAGCAGACCTCTCCTGTCTTGTCTGCTGCTCCCCTCAGCAGTATATTTCAGTCAGTCTGCCTGTTCTGTTCCCCCCTCTGTCCCTGGTTAATCCTCTCACCTCCCTGCACCTCTGACCTGTACCCCAGTTCCTATATGCATAAATAAATAAATCTTAAAAAAAAATAAACTTGGCCAGGAGAGGGAATACTGGTGAGGAGAAAAATCATACGTTTTTAAGCATTTTTGAAGAAAGGATATGATCTGTGACACTTAGGCTAATTAAGTATAGGTTGCATTTTCAATAGAAATGAGTCCATAAGTATAGACATAGTTGGCAAAATTTTTCAAGCTTGGCACTATTGTACTATTAACTATTTACAATTCTTTGTGGTAGGGTTGGGGAGAGAGGATGGACTGACCAATGCATTATAGGATGTTTAGCAGCATTTCTGATCTTTACACACTAGATACCAGCAGCATCCTCCCAGTTGTGATAAACAAAAGTGTCTCTAGACATTGCCAAATGTCTCCATGGGACAAAACACTCCAGAGAACTATTGGCTTAAAAGAAGTTCCAGGGCCTCCCCGGTGGCGCAGCGGTTGAGCGCTGGGTTGCGAAGCTGCCCGCGGCCTCTGCGGCGCCGGTTCGATCCCTGGCTGCTCCCCGGCCACCAGAGGAGGGTCCCACATGGCGCGCAGACCTCTCCTGCCGCCCGCTGCTCCCCTCAGCAGTGTACCTCGGTCCTTCTGCCTGCTCTGCTCCCCGCTCTGCTCTGGTGAATTCTCTCACCCTCCCAGTCTTCTGACTGTACCCAGTGCATGTATAAACAAAACAAACAAACAAACAAACAAATAAATAAAAAACATGCCTCTATTAAATAAATAAATAAATAAATAAATAAATAAATAAAGAAGTTCCAGTGCTCAATGGTCAGAAAGGGATCTGCAATTAGGTCTCATAAAGGCCTGTCATCCTAGGGTCAATCAAAACTTGTGACTTTTTATTAACTAGATAAAGCCATGGCAATTAAACAATTTCAACAGCTTCTAAGCTAATGCTGCAATGAGTACATTGGAACCTAGGGGAAAATATGATGTGAAACTTGTTCTTAAAGTGTCTCCCCAAGAGAATGTATTAGTTGCTAGAAAAAAATAATAGCTAAAAAAAAGCAGAGAGGCCTCCCGGTGGCGCAGCAGTTTAAGCGCAGCACTGTGAAGCTGTCCATAGCCTCTGCAGTGCAGGTTCGATTCCCGGCCGGCCAGGGAGATTCCCACATGGCCCGGCAGACCTCTCCTGTCACTCCCGCTGCTCCCCTCAGCAGTGCTTTCTGTCTGTCTACCTATTCTGCTCCCCACTCTGTCTCTGGTGAATCCTCTCACCCTTCCGCGCCTCTGGCCTGTATCCCAGCTATTGTACAAAAAAATAAATAAATAAATCTTTAAAAAAAAAAAGTAGAGAAACCATGCAACTCTAAACCAAGTGATAAAATTAAGCTTACTTATGGCAGACAACTATCAAGTATTTGCAGATTTGATGCACAAGAAAAAGATGTAACAGCTAGGAATGCATAACCTCCATTTCAATCACAAGAAATCATACATTACGATTTAAATCATAAGAACCATCAAACAAACAAAAATAAGAAAATTCTATTTTTTAAATAGTAGAAAGGGTTCCAAACATCAGTGTGATAAAAGACAAACTGGGAACCATTCCAGATTAAAGGAGGCTAAATAGACAGGATAAACAAATGTAACATCTGTCCTGAGATTGGATCATGTACTGGAGGAGGGAAAGTGCTATAAAGCACAGTGTTAGGTCAACTGACAAAACCGGAATATAAAGTAGGTCAAATAAAAAAGTTTTATCAAGGGGGCCTCCCCGTGGCGCAGGGGTTGAGCACTGGGTTGCGAAGCTGCCCGCAGCACCTGCAGCACTGGTTGGATCCCCGGCCACAGGGCGAGGGTCCCACATGGCGTGCAGACCTCTCCTGAGGCCCGATGCTCCCCTCAGCAGTGCACTTCGGTCCTTCTGCCTGCTCTGCTCCCCGCTCTGGCTCTGGTGAATTCTCTCACCCTCCTCCGCTTCTGACTGTACCCAGTGCTTGTATAAATAAATTAATTAATTAATTAAAAAAAAAAAAAAACAGTATTTGCTGCAACCCAGATTCTTAAAAAAAAAAAAAAGTTTTAACAAGGGGCCTCCCTGGTGGCTCAAGGGGTTAAGACGCAATCTATAAAGCTATCTACAGCCACTGCAGCACAAGTTCAATCCCCGGCCAGGGAGCTACCCACATGGTGCAGCAGACCTCTCCTGTCTTGCCCACTGCTCCCGCCAGCAGTGTATTTCAGTAGATCTGCCTGTTCTGTGCCCCACTCTATCTCCGGTGAATCCTCTCACACATAGGCCCCACCTCTGGCCTGTACCCCAGTTCTTGTATGCATAAATCTTTTTTTAAAAAAAGTTTTAACAAAATAGGGCCTCCCTTGTGGCGCAGGCGGTTGAGCGCAGCCTCTGCAGTGCCTATTCCATCCACGCTGGCTGGTGAGAATCCCACATGGCACTGCAGACCTCTCCTGTCTCACTGGCTGCTCCCCTCAGCAGCGTATTTCAGTCAGTCTGTCTGTTCTGTTCCCCACTGTGTCTCTGGTGAATCCACTCACCCTCCTGCACATCTGGCCTGTACCCCAGTTCTTGTATAAATAAATCTTAAAAACAAAAAGTTTTAACAAAATAGATTTATAAAGTTGATAACTATACTGTGATTATGTAAGGGACTATCTTTCTTAGGAAACACAGAAGAATTGAGAGATAAAGAGTCAAAATCTATCTCTCTAACCCTATATAATTTACTCTCAAATGAGGGGGGGGGGAATTGTGTATAGTTGAGAGAGACTGATGTAATAAATGATAAAAACCAAAAGAACCAAAATGTAAGGATAGGTGAATCTGGGTTAAGCGTATATGTATGTTCCTTGTAATATTTTTGATTGCAACTTTCATCAGTCTGAAATTATTTTCAAATAAAAAGCTAAAACGAAAGGACTGACTTGGGGAAGCAATTTGGTTTACGGATCTGACAGGTTAGGAAGCTGGCAATAATTCTTAAAACAATTGCTGTTGTAGAAACCTCACAGATGAAAACGCACAACCTCTGTCTAACCTGGGATCCTGGAAGGATACCCAAAGTTTCTCTGAACTTCAATTCCTCCATCCCAGGTGCTTTTGAAAAGTATATCAAAGGCTCTTACATATATCAAATACCGCCGTGGAGAGGCCTAACAAAAGGCAAGACTACATTCATAACAACTTCACAGCCACCCAGCATAAACGCATCGCAAACTGCAGCTGCTTCACTGTCACCTTCCCGGGGCCACCCGGTTCTCAGGCTCAGGCGAAGCGCTCTCCGGGCGGGTCCAGCTGGGCGGCGCCTCTCCCGGGGGCCCCCGCAGCGGTCCAGAGAGCGCAGGCGCAGAGTTAGGTCACGTGACGTCCCGGCCCCGCGTCGCGCGGAGCAGCCTCGCTCTGCCCCGCCCCCTCTCGAATGTCGTCGCGGGATCGCCCTGGAAACGCATTCTCCGAGGAACCGGCAGCCGCCAATGGGAAGGGAGCGAGTGCCACGAACAGGCCAATAAGGAGGGAGCGGTTCGGGGTTTAAACCTAAGGCGAGGCGGCTGCTCCCGGCGTGCTGCGGAGGAACGGCTGTTGATCTGTGGGTGCAGGTCCTGGGCTGCTCTGGGGCTCCCGCTCTGTTCTCGCCGCTGAGCTGCTGCCCGGGGAGAGGAAGCCATGGCGCTGCGGGTCACCAGGGTGAGCTGCCGCGGGCCGTGGGCAGCGCGGCCTTCCCCGCTCGCTGCGTGTTCTCTTGCCCTGTTTCGCCTGCTGTAGTCGCCCTCCCCCCGACCCGGGGTTGGAGCGACCCGGGGAGGCGATTTGGGGGTGAGGTTGGGGGTGGGGGCTCTTCCATGGTGAGGGAATTTGGGGAACGGAGGAAGGTGGGAACGAGCTGCACCGGCCTGGGATAAATGTTGCGGGGGGCGGGAGGTGGATGGACGACGGGAAACCTTTTTAAAAAGGTGATGGAGGGCCAGGGGGAAGCTACCGGCTGCGTGACTCCCTTCCCTGAAAGAAGGTGCCAGCAATTGAAGGCTTTTTCGATTTCCTTTCAAATGCAAATGCGTGGTATTTTAGGGCCGGCGGGGACTAATCTGGCAATCTCATGCTGGCAAATGGGATAAAACTGACTGGCACTGCCGCGGCGAAGGTCGGGGGGGGGGGTTTCCCCTGGGAATTCCTTTACTGCTGGCTTTCCTCCCGGGGGCCTCCCTTACCTCGCCACAATTAACCCTTGGCTTACTCTAGCCTTGCTGGGTCAGCTCTCAAAATGGTCTTGCTTATTTCAGAACACGAAAATTAATGGTGAAAATAAGGCGAAGATTAGTATGGCAGGCGCAAAGCGTGTGCCTGTGGCCTCTGCTGCAGCTTCCAAACCCGGGCTGAGGCCAAGAACAGCCCTTGGAGATATCGGAAACAAAGTCAGTGAACAGCCCCAGGGCAAAATGCCTCTGAAAAAGGTAATTATCATCCTGAGCCAACTTGTCTTTAAGCGTTCACTGTCAACAGTGACCCTTCATGGAGAAACATTCCATTCTCCCTTTCATCTACAGGAAGCAAAAACTTTAGCGGCTGGGAAAATGATGGCTAAAAAACTACCAAAACCTCTGGAAAAGGCACCTGTGCCTGTGGTGGAACCAGAGCCGGAATCTGAGCCTCATCCTGAACTGGAATCTGAGCCTGTTAAAGAAGAAAAACTTTCTCCTGAGCCTATTTTGGTAAATTTATTTATCCTTTTAGAGGCTATTATAACTATTTCCTTCCATCATTTCTTTGATGCATAGAATAACATTTGAATAAATAGTAATAATAGAACATTGTTTGCTTTGCCATGCGGCAGGCACTGCCCAGCACTTTTACCTGCATTAAATCCCATGGTATTTACAGACACTTTTTTTTTTTTAAAGATTTCTTTATTTATGCATACAAGAACTGGGGTATAGGCCAGAGGAGCTGGGGAGGTGAGAGGATTCACCAGAGACAGAGTGGGGAACATAACAGGCAGATTGACTGAAATACACTGCTGAGGGGAGCAGAAGGCGAGTCAGGAGAGGTCTGCACCATGTGGGTAGCTCCCTGGCTGGGGTTCGAACTTGTGTTGCAGTGCTGGAGAGAGCATCATAGGTTGCTTCTTAACCCCTTGCGCCACCAGGGAGCCCTTATATACACTCTTTTTAGCTAGTATTATTCCTCCACCTTTTAGATAATGGCTTAGAGAAGTATTTTTTCTAAAGTCACGTATCTAATAAGTGGTACATTGTTTCAAACCCAAGTTGTCTGACTTTGGAACCTATGCTTTTAATTTGTCCCCTTTGTCTAATGGTGTTGATTAGTAACTGCTTTAAATAAAGATTTAGTTGTCTTTGGTATAAGCTATCTCTACCTAGAATTTAACTGAAACAGTTTGTTCTCTTTGAGTTTTTAACTCTAACGTGACCACTGAATAGTAAACCTATAATATTGGAAAATATGAAGATGTAAAAGGAGAAAGGAAATGTAGCTCTTCTAACAGCAGGTGAGATGACTTAACAGCCTCAAAACACTACTTTTTATTAAATATCAGGTATACAAGTGTATTTAACCCTGTGAAGGAAAAACAGGTCATCTGGAAGAGGCTATTTTGCTAAAATTGGAATGACATGTATTCTGAACCTCTAATTTTAATAGTTTTGTTAAAACTGGTTATAAAAGTCATTCACTCAAGAACAAAGATACGTAAGGATTTTTTACATAAGGATAAGAGATTTGAAGCTGGTGTTTAGCATTGACCTGGACATAACTCATGAAACCTGTACTACGTGCAGTCTTTAATCAGCCATATCAAACTACCTGAGATTTCCCTAAAAAGCCCTATACTAATTCTTGCCTTTGTATCCCCTTTTATTCAGAATGCCATTATCCCCACCTTCTCTTATGTTTAGCTAATAATCTTTTCATCCTTTAAAACAGCTCAATCATCAACTACTAAAACTTTAACTTCATGCATACCTGCCATTGTTTCTAGAATTAATGGCCTTACTTCATTTATTATCTCTTTTAAATGCAAGGCCCCTTGAGGACACCATAAAGCCAGTGCCTGGCATAGAGCTTGACTTGAAGATGTTCAGAAAATGTTTGAACATTAAGGTAAAGGGAGCATCTTGCAGGATATAATGAATGATAACAAAGTCAGTGTTTAGGGCCTCCCCTGGTGGCGCAGGTGGTTGAGCGCCACACTGTGAAGCTGCCTGCAGCCTCTATAGCACCAGTTTGATCCCGGCCAGCCAGCAAGGGTCCCACATGGCGTCATCACTCTGCCTGTTCTGTCCCCCACTCTGTCTCAGGTGAATCCTCTCAACTGCCCGCGCATCTGGCCTGTACCCCAGTTCTTGTATAAATATTTAAAAAATAAATAAGTCAGTGTTTAGAAATCAGGACAGAACTTATGTTTTCCTGAGCGGTGAGAAGTACATACTTTGAAATAAAGACTAAAGACTGACTTTCATTCAATTGAATTAAATTTACATGATGCTGACAGATTCATTACCTAGCGTTTCCTTTAGAACAGCTTGAATAGAAATGTATTTGCTTCGTTTTTTATCTGTGAGTGCTTCGGTTCTGTTGAATTCAAACTGGCTCACTTTAAGTTGACATTTCACTTTCATATTAATCATTTCCTGAAGAGAAATAAAATAAATTGGACAAGAAGGTACTTTTCCTTTGTGGTCTTTTCAGCAGATAGTCTCTTGAGTTGGTATCATTGATCTCATCTTCACTTCCAAACTACAGTGAACATTCCACTTTACTGTTGTTTTGAGATATCGCTCTGTTTTCAAGGTTGATACTCCCTCTCCAAGTCCAATGGAAACATCTGGATGTGCCCCTGCAGAAGAGTATCTGTGTCAGGCTTTCTCTGATGTAATTCTTGCAGTAAATGATGTGGATGCAGAAGATGGAGCTGATCCAAACCTTTGTAGTGAATATGTGAAAGATATCTATGCTTATCTGAGACAACTTGAGGTCAGTGTTACTGCTTGAGTCTTGTTTTTGTCTAAACTGCATCTGGCGTTACTAAGAATATTTTCCATTCACAGTTTATAATTCAAGTAGGACATGAGCAGCTTTCCACTTTTAAATTGATTACCAAAAACAAAGTCACATGACAAATAGTAAAGTCTTTGTCCTTTAGTAAAGGGAACATTCAAAGTGAGATTCGGGGATGTGAGAGCCATCTGGCTGCGACATCTGTCACCCCATTGATATCCAGGGTTGATTGGGTGGGTGTCCCCTTCCTCACCACTCCATGTGTGTCCCTCTCAAAGCTAAGAGCTCGGTAGAAGAGAATTACCTTCCCTGAATAGAGAGGACCCTTCTTCAGTTAAGGGTATATAGTAGTTGTGCTCCCCTGTTAGAACCTCCAAATAAGCTTTCAAAGTGAGAGATGGTACTACCATGGCTCTTTCTAATAGAAAGTCCACAGATTGAATGATGTGTTTATATCCACCACAGTTTGGGTTTAAGGAGGATAATACCCAGGAGGTAGATAGTAGTGGAGAAAATGCTGAAAAATTATATTCACCTCCATCACAAGGCATTGTGGGTCAATATGGATGATTTCTCTGTGACATCAAGGGAATAATTCCTTGTGTCTTAGAGAACACTCAAAACGTAAGGTGTTGGTTTTCTTCCATTTAATCCCATTTCTGAAATTTACTAGAAGCTAACAACAAACTATGTAGTTATTATCAAATTTACCCAATTGTTTGTTTATAATGCATTCATACCTCAGCATTATCAGTTAACATCTTCAGTGTCTTGCCTGGTTCTTTCAGGCATCTTCATTTTTCTATAGGATTATCCTGCAAATCAGACTTCTTGCTAGCAGCACTAGTCAGCTTAGGGTTTCACTCCCTTTCTGGTGCTTTTTTAAATTTGTGTTCTAACTTCAGAAGAGTGTATGTATGTGCTGGTCCTTAATGGTTCTTAGCTATGGTGTTTTTAGGATTTGTACCTTGGAGCAGGAATGTGGCAAGGATGTCTGGCGGCTGCTGCTGTTTTCTCTGCTTCATAAAACCACAGGGTTTGGGCTTAGAGTCTTAACTGAAAAGATTTGAGATGATCATAAGGTGTCTTTATTGGAGCAAGTGGAAATAGGGTGTGTGCCAGCAGGAGCTCTGGTGAGTTCTGCCAATATGAAACACCTGTCACACTGTTCTGTTTAATGCTTGCTTTCTTTTTCTCCTCAGTGATGAAGCTGTTTGTAGTGAACATAGGAATATGTATGGATTTAACAATTGGTTGATCATAAATGCTGCAGAGCTATTGTGTAGGGACTGTTATTTCTGGTCAGAAATGTGACATGGAGTCTTGCTGCAAAGAATAATCAACATTTCTTTTGCAGGAGGAGCAAGCCATTAGACCAAAATACCTACTAGGTCGTGAAGTCACTGGAAACATGAGAGCCATCCTAATTGACTGGCTGGTACAGGTTCAGATGAAATTCAGGTTGCTGCAGGAGACTATGTACATGACTGTTTCCATTATTGATCGGTTCATGCAGGTGAGCATAATTCAGTAATTGATGATTCTCACTTCTAGGGTCCTAGCTGAAAATCTGTCTTAGAGGATAGGGTATCATAAATTGAGATTTTGCTATGGAAGTGCCTTCCCCCCTCCTTCAGTGCTCTTATGTATGCTTTATCAAATACATATTACTTATTCTCGTACAATTGAAATTTACATTGCAGAATAATTGTGTACCCAAGAAGATGCTGCAGCTGGTTGGTGTTACTGCCATGTTTATAGCAAGCAAATACGAAGAAATGTACCCTCCAGAAATTGGAGATTTTGCCTTTGTGACTGACAACACTTACACTAAGCACCAAATTAGACAGATGGAAATGAAGATTTTAAGAGCTTTAAATTTTGGCTTGGGTCGCCCTCTGCCTCTGCACTTCCTTCGGAGAGCTTCTAAGATTGGAGAGGTATAGATTTCTTGAGAAACTTTCGGTATGGTACATTTAAGGAATACTGCTGGCCAAACCAATCAAATTTAACTAGCTAACCACATGAGGAAGTATAAAAATAATTGTTGTTTTTAGTCAAGTTGCATATTAATATTATTTTTAAGTCTTCCCATGGGGAATTGCATTAGAGAGTTAGTAGTCAAACATTTGTTTAAATATAGGCATACTATACTGCTTATTGCCAATAAGGAATTTTCTGAAAGTAGCTCAGTGACCTGCGGATTTTCTTCCAGGTTGATGTTGAGCAACATACTTTGGCCAAATACCTGATGGAATTAACTATGTTGGATTACGATATGGTGCACTTTCCTCCTTCTCAAATTGCAGCAGGAGCTTTTTGCTTAGCTCTGAAAATTCTTGACAATGGTGAATGGGTAAGCTCTGTCACACAGGAATAGGTCACCATAAGCTTTTACATTATAAAATGTGTTTGCCTGATTACAGAACTTTTTTTCATTAAATTACAATTTAAATGTCTCCTAAATATGGAATCTAGCCAGTGAATGATTAAAAATGGTATCTTAATTGTGATGTCTTTCAGCATAAAGTGTTTATATTTGATTACCTAATTTCATCTTTGAATACTGCTTTGAGAAAACAGCAACTGCTAGTCCTCATAGTTGGAGACACCCGTATTACTCAAATAACATCTTTAGAAGTTCATTCATATTCATGGGTTTAACCAATTCTCTTACCTATCGTGTGCTACTGAGGCATGAAACTGAATGAGAGAGTTTGCCTCAGGTAACTTAAGATTCTAGCTTTGGGGTAGACAAATGAGCAATTACTATAGTGCAATTAGGTTTGAGCATTAGTTTATAATAGGTTTAAGCAGGGGATCCAGAGAAACAAGGAAAAAAGAGGACCTGGGATAGAAGGGAGTCTTAAGTTCAATTTGTCTTGAAGTTGAATTATAGTGAGTCATCCATAATTTAGCTCCCTACCCTATTGAATAACATCGAGGAATTTTATGAAAACTATTGTTAAGGAGCATTTTTAACATTAACGTTTGTTTTTAGACACCAACTCTACAACACTACCTGTCATACACTGAAGAATCCCTTCTTCCTGTGATGCAGCACCTGGCTAAGAATATAGTCATGGTGAATCGTGGACTTACAAAGCACATGGTAAGTCAGTCAGCTGTGTACTGTAGAATGTTGGAAAAGGTGAAAATAATTGGCTTTTGCCTGCAAATGCGTATATTATTAAGTTGATATTTTAAGTGAATATAATTAGATCTTATGTTTTTTTTCCATTAATTAGTATGCCTTTCTCTTTCAGACAATTAAGAACAAGTATGCGACATCTAAGCATGCCAAAGTCAGCACTCTGGCACAGTTGAATTCTGTAATAGTTCAAGATTTAGCTAAAGCTGTAGCAAAAGTGTAACTTGTGACTTGACTTGGGAGTACTATATGTTAACTTGACTTGGGAGTACTATATCTGCAAATAAAATTGGCACCATGTGCTATCTGTACATATTATGTTCATTTACTTTTAATAAAGTTTGTGGTCCTTTTTACCTATACCTTTACTCATGGCTACTTCCTACTCTAGAATAAATCTAAAAGTTATCTTAAAGGTATGGTGGGGGGATCTAAAAAATGCTTTCAGTTTACCTGGGAATGCAACAAATGTATATAACTGTTGCTTATGTATTTGGCTCTTGTTTCTTGTTGTATGTATCTTGGTATTAATGATTGAGGTGAACACACTAAAAACACTTATTCCCATAGGGCATATTGCCTATTAGCCCAGTCATTTTGGAGAATCTGCTGCTTAGTTCTACTTAGTAAATGTCTACCACTTGATCCCTAATGCTGCCTGTTTCATTTCTCTTGGTGCTTGCTGCCATAATTCCAAATGCGTTGTTGCCACTAATTTTCACCTTTAGCTATTACCAACTTTTTCACTAGAAAAAAATTCTATATTCAAAACTTAGTTAACTTTTTGTTGGTTAAGAAAATAAAATAGGGCCTCCCCGGTGGCGCAGTGGTTGAGCGCTGGGTTGTGAAGCTGCCCGCAGCCTCTGCAGCGCCGGTTCGATCCCCGGCTGCTCCCCGGCCACCGGAGGAGGGTCCCGCATGGCGCGCAGACCTCTCCTGCCGCCCGCTGCTCCCCTCAGCAGTGTCCTTCGGTCCTTCTGCCTGCTCTGCTCCCCGCTCTGGCTCTGGTGAATTCTCTCACCCTCCCGCGCTTCTGACTGTGCCCAGTGCTTGTGTTAATAAATAAATAAATAAAGCTTGCCTCTAAAAAAAAAAAAAAAAAAAAAAGAAAATAAAATGGGGCCTCCCCTGGTCGCACAGGTGGTTGAGCACAGCACTGTGAAGCAACCTCTGCAGCATGGGTTTGATCCCAGCTGGCCGCAGAGATACCCAGATGGTGCGGCAGACCTCTCCTGTCTCACCCGCTGTTCCCCTCAGCAGTATATTTCAGTCAATCTGCCTGTTCTGTTCCCTGCTCTGTCTCTGGTGAATCACCCTCTTGCACATCTGGCCTGTACCCTGGTTCTTGTAGGCATACATAAATCTTTAAAAAAATCCTCAAAACAAATGCAAAAGTATCTAAAAGTTTGTTTGCCACTCATAACTTTGTCAACCTGCACACTAGAAAGGATATCAATTGTTTAATGTATCCTTCCAGGCCTTCTATAAACAGACATGCATATAAATTGCTACAGAGATATAAAAAAATGGTATTCCAGGGCCTCCCTGGTGGCTCATCAATTGAGCGCTGGGCTGCGAAGCTGCCAGCAACCTCTGCAGCGCCGGTGAGATCCCGTGCCAAAGGCGAGGGTCCCACATGGCATGTCAGATCTCTCCTGCCATGCCGGCTGCTCGCCTCAGCAGTGTATTTCATATTTCTGCCTGTTCTGCTCCCCACTCTGGCTCTGGTGAATACTCTCACCCTCCCGCGCTTCTGACTGTACCTAGTGCTTGTGTAAATAAATCTTTTTAAAAAAAAATGGTATTCTGTATACTTAGTGGTTCATGTCAATGTGTATGTGTTTGGGTATTACATTTCATGGTATGGATATACTATTAAAGCATTCCACCATTTCCCTGTTGATGGTTACATTTTCTCCAAAGTTTCAGCAGGTACTACTAGCAGATAACAAAACAATATACAAAAGTGCTAAATTTTCTCTGCATCTTTGCCAGAACTTAAGGTAGTCATTTTCTTGAATTTCTGTGAATTTGGCCAAGAATTGCCTAATTTATTTGCTGTTTTAGTTAATACTTTTGATGGCTATTTGAATAAATTGTTGACTTACCAACACATTAACCATTCCTATTTTGTAATTTGTCCTTTGACTTTGTTATCTTTTTATATTTGCATTTTAAGTGTTTATATTATCAAATCTACTTATTGTAGTTCTTTGCTTCTTTTCAATTTTAACGTGAACTTTAGCCATAAACATCTAAATTCTAGGTTTTTCCTATTTATATCTAAAATTCTCAGTACATTTGATGGGGGTATAAGGTAAGATTCTTATCCATTTACACCAATACCACATGAAAGTGACAAGTTCGTTAAAAGAGAGGCCTGCATAGTTCCCAGCAGGCAGCCTTGGAGGAGAGCTGCCTCTAAAAGCATCCTTTTCCAAATAATCTGAAACATCAATGGGCATCAGATCTACTGAAATACTCTGTTGAGGGGAACAGCAGGCAACACATGTCACAGTGGCTGGCAATAGATTGATAACACTGAGACTTTAACCCTTGTGACACCAGGGAGGCCCTCTGAGCTGTTATTTCTTTAGTACATTGACCATTATTTTTGCTATTAGTCTAAGTGATCTGTATTTTAGCTATTTTTCCATATTGTTCGGCATTGTTAAATAGCAAAGCTATGGAATTTCATTTACTTTTTTTTTTTAAGATTGATTGATTTATGCATACAAAGCTGGGTTACAGGCCAGAGGTGTTGGGGGGTGAGAGAATTCACCAGAGACGGAGTGGGGAACAGAACAGGCAGATTGACCAATGTAACTGCTGAGTGGAGCAGCCAGCAAGTCAGGAGAGGTCTGCTGCTCCATGTGGGTTCCGCCTGGCTCTCTGGGGGATCCAGCTTATGCTTCAGAGGCTGCGGACAGCTTCATAGGTTGTGTCTTAACCCTTTGCGCAACCAAGGAGGCCCTCATTTAAAGGTTGTGATTTCATGGTCCTTCTGTTTTTAATCTGATAATATTCCACATTAGAGGTTTTTTTAGAGTGGAGTAAGTAGCTCCTCATGGTATATAGATTGAATATGCTAATGTTTCATTTAGAAAACTTGCACATGTAGGAAATGGGCACAGTTTTTGTTGATAGTGTTTTTCTGGTTTTGGCCAATTTTTAAGTTTTAAGGTGGATGAAGGTTTTCATCTTCGTGTCTTATAATTTGAAATCTTTATACATTGAAAACCAATTAAGTTAAACTACAAGGTCATTTGTCCTGGGACTTCTTAAAATTGTAATTTTCTATGGTTTTTGTGATATTTAGGGATTTTCTCCCCTATTCATAGAAAAAAATCTGTTTTAGAATTTTTTGGTTCACTGTAGATCTAATTCATGCTATAATTCATCTCTACTGTATTACAGCTTCATTTTTGTTCTGGATATCAAATAATTTATTTAGTGATCAGGCTTGCACAGCGGTTCTTTTATTCATGCTCTAAAACAATCAGTTTTGGGGGCTATTTTTATCTTTATAGTTTTAGCTTCTACATTCTCACCATTTGCTTTCCTTTGGATTTTTTAAAACAAAATATTTAATGAACATAATGGAAGTGTGCACACAATTCAGATTCATACTTAATGATACATGAAATATTGGCAAAAATTGTACATGTACTAAATTCTAGAATATTCTCAACAAATTTCAAAGAATACTTACCCACATTCTGAGTACAATTCATTGAAGTTAAAAGTCAATTACAAAAAGGTAGTAAGAAACATCTTAAATTTCATTGATTTGCCATTTGTTTAAAAAAATTAATTTTAGTAGTTTCACACCCTGAGATGTGTATATGCTTCAACTCTTATTTTCTAGTTTAAAAAATTTTCTGTATTTTAGTAATAAAAACCCAATTAGTATACATTCTTCTCAGATACTTTGTTTCTGAACTCTTTTGTCAATTTTGGTTGTCATAATTAATCTTTTTCTCAGGCAACTATTATGTTAGTCATTTAAAGTCATTAGGGGTGTGGGCTATAAAAATGCCTTTTTTTAAGATGCATACAAGAGCAGGGGTACAGGCCAGAGATGCGGGGGGTTGAGAGGATTCACGAAAGACAGAGTGGGGGGGCAGAACAGGCAGATCCACTGAAATACACTGCTGAGAGGAGCAGCGGGTGAGACAGGAGAGGTCTGTAGCACCATGTGAGTTTCTCCCTGGCTAGCCAGGGATCGAACTCATGCTGCAGACGCTGCAGATTACTTCATAATGCGGTGCTTAACCCCTAGCGCCACCAGGGAGGCCCAAAAATGCCTTTTTGAAATTTAGTCTTATTTGTAGTAAAGTATTTGATGACTTCTGTAAATATTTAATAGGAGCAAAGTAGTAGTGATTTATAATAATATTAAACATATATATACTTAAGCTAAGAAAATATGGAGTAACTGTTAATCACACCAATACGTATATATACACAAGCTCCTTTTCTTTTTCAAAGCCATTTGAAAGTAAAATTCAGCTGTCAAGATAATTTCACCTTCAAACTTCAAGAATCAAGATTATTTTTCTAAATAACCAATATCTCTATCACACTAGGAAAATATATAATATGCAAAACATATTCAAATTTCCTCAATGCAATGGTTCAAAAAATATTAGGAGGAGTTGTCCAGATTATTGTCTATAGTTCTTGTGTGATTGTTTCTTCATAGTTACCTTAGACTAGAACATAGGTGATGTGTACTTAATGCATGGTACTGGAGTCATCAGATTGTTAGACTACTGGTGATACCAAGTTTGATCATCTTGTTAAGTGATAATCACCAGATACATCTTTGCTGTGAAGTTGCTGCTTTCATTCTCTGCATTGATCAATGATACTAGGCTTTGAATCATTTATCTCACAGGAGTAACATGATAGTAGTTATCATCCCATCTATAGTAATGGACATTTTCTTTAAAGAAACGCTCCTCACTCTCCCCTCACTTTTTTTGCTTTACTCTGTAATTTTAAAAATTTGTTAAAATATATTAATAGAATGATTCTCGAAGTGTCGCCCCTAGTCAGCAACAGCAATATCATATGAAAACTTAATAGAACGCAAATCAGCAACTAATGAGGCATCTAGCAATTTTTTAACCATCCTCCATGATTTTTTTAGATTTATTTATTTATGCATACAAGAGCTGGGGGTGCAGGCCAGAGGTAAAGGGGGGTGAGAGGATTCACCAGAGACAGAGTAGGGAACAGAACAGGCAGATCCACCCAGGTACACTACTGAGGGGAGAGGCAGGTGAGCCAGAAGAGGTCTGCTGCGCCATGTGTGTTGTTCCCTGGCCCACCAGGGATCCAACTCAGGCTGCAGAGGCTGCAGATTGCTTCATACTGCTGTGCTTAATTAATCCCTTGTGCCACCAGGGAGGCCCACCCTCCCATGATTTTGATGCATGCTCAGACTGGAGAACTATTGCATTGTCTTTTTCCCACATTTGACCAGTAGACACCTGATAAACGACCTGTTGAAAGGAAGAGATTGATAGGAGATGCTAAAGGCATTCCAGAAAAAGTAGTAAAAGTTAAAAAAGAACTATGAGGTCACTTCTTTGAAAACAAAAAATCCGGACTGATTGTGCTTGTGCTGCAAGGACAGCGTCCTTTACACTACCGACCAAAAGGAAAAACGACAAATGCATCAATTGTTTATGGTTCCCTGCATTTTCTCCATTACCCCAATCACCGCACAGCTGGTAAAGTTCAATTATAACCAGCTGAAACTACAGGTTGACACTTGGGGGCACACGGGATTTCACGCTGGAAGTCAGGTTCAAGTGTCAATACTGCTTGGTACTTGAGAGGCCACAGATGTCTCTGAACTGAACACCTTGTTTCTCCGCCAAATGAGGGGGTCTAGCCCTGAGTTCAGGTCAAATGTCACCTTAAAGAACCCACCAATGTTTCTCCAATACCAGCCTTCAATACACACCCATTTTCCAAGGTGAAGATCTAGAACATGTGCCAAAATGGGCAAAAAAACTTGTACTGCAGGTCTCACAGTCCAGACTAAGGCCATTTTTGACCCGTCTTCCCCACCAGGCGCGGTTCCCGATACCCTAGGAGAGGCTTAAATGGTTGCAGGCCTGTGGCTAGTTCCGTAGAGATAGCGCTTCTGGTTCTTTGAACTTTTTTTTTTTTTTAATTATTTATGCATACAGGAACTGGGGTATAGGCCAGTGGTGCAGGGGGTGAAAGGATTCACCAGAGACAGGGTCGGGAACAGAACAGGCAGATTGACTGAAACACACTGCTTAGGGGAGCAGCAGGCGAGCCAGGAGAGGTCTGCTGCACCATCTGGGTAGCTCCCTGGCTGGGGATCGAACTCGTGCTGCAGTAGCTGCGGTTAGCTTCATAGGTTGCATCTTGACCCCTTGCGCCACCAGGGAGGCCCCCAGTTCTTTGAACTTTTCATTAGCGGCCTGCAACGATTTCAACCAGTGCAGCCTGGACAACAGGAAGTGCTACACTGCAATCCCTGCAATCCCAGTAATCCCAGTCCGTGGCGGAAAGACGTGACCGTGGGGCGGAAGGGGCGTGGCCTGACTGCTGGTTCCCGCCCCTTCCGGGAGTCAGTTTTGTGGCGGGAAAAACAACTGTCGCTGTGGCGTGTTGTGCAGGCCCGGGAGGGCCGCTTTTCGCGCCCGCTAGAATGGACGAGCAAGCTGAGGATCATGCAGTCTCCGAGCCCGCGGACTCCGGCGCTGAAGGCGGACCCCCACAGGTCGCCGGCGCCCGAGAGACGTCCCCGAGGACCGTGTGACCCTGCTTCTCAGGTCGTTCCCAGTGGCCCGAGGGCGGAGGCCAAGTGGGCGTGGTGGTTCAGCTCTGCCCTCTGTTTATCCGGTGTCGGGATTCTGGTCACCGGTAGCTGTGTGACTGCAGCATTCACTCCGACGACTTACGATCCTTCCCAAGGGAGAGGAAAATGACACCCTCCTAGTAGAGTCGTTATGGGAATTAAATGACACCCTCCGGGGCAAGCGTTTAGCGTAGGGTCCTTTGGGTCTGTAATCGCCCTGTTCCTTCCCCCTTGCGCCCCAGGGTGCGGATTTTCAAACAGGTGGACTGTATCCAAGACCCGAGCTATGCAACGGAGGTTACCTTGCCCCCTTTCTCCTGTATCTACGACCCTTTTCAGTGCACAAGAATAATGGGTATTAATGAAAATATTCATATTTTCCTATCGAGACTGCAGTGTTTACATTTTTCCACTAAGCAGTACCTAGGGGAAGATTTGATAAGGGACGTCAATCTGATCCAGTGAACTGAGAGGCCTTGAGCTAAATTCATCTTGCCGCCTGTTTTTGTGTGGCCCCCGGAGCTAGGAATAGTTTTCATGTAAAAAAATCAAAATCAACAAGCAACTACAAACCAGAGACACACGGGTGGGAGAGGGGGGAGAGGAGGGATAAGGGTTAAAATAAGGGGGGTGCAATTGTATGGGGAATATAACCAAGATGAAAATGCATACATTGTGCAAAAAAGAAAAATACTGTAAGAATTATAAAATAAAATATAAATAAATAAATAATGATAAAAGGAAAAAATAACCAACAAAAGAAATAAATGGTTAGGGGGGAAAATTACAAAAATATTTAATAACATGAAATTCAAAAATTTCAGTATCCCTAAATTTGTATTGGAACACAGCTTTCCTAATACAAGGACCCATGAGTGATAACAACTGACACTATATGACTAATGAAGTCTAAAGTATTTATTATCTGATCCTTTACAGAAAAAAAAATTTGCAGTCTTACCATCTAAATTTTATGGGGGGAAAATTAGGATTGGGAGAGATAAGCCTTATAACCGTATTTTAGCTTTAGAAGGCCTTGACTAATAATAAACCTCCTTTTAAAAATTCTGTTCTACCTACAATATGAAATACTAAATATTAAAGACGTACGAGTCCCATTTCCATCTCTGCCTAGAAAGAAAATATTCTTTCAGTTGTCTTGTTCACCTATTTAACCTGTCCTTTTAATTTAAGATTTTGAAACATAAGGAACTGGCCATGGAGCTTTAAAAAAATTTGTTCCGTGTTTCTTAGCTACTTAAATAGGTCTCCAAATAAAAATAGTTTCAGCTTTATGAAACTGCTATGTAAGTTGGAAGCAACCCTTAAGTACAACTTAATAACTAATTGCCACTTTACCCATAGCTTTTCTTTGTTTATGTATGATTTTGGATTCAATATATCATAGGACAATTTTGAGGCAGCAAAATCCAAGGAATAGAGAATCTGTAACACAGTGTTTGTAGGTTTCACTATTTTGATTTATTTCTTTACGTAGCAGTTTTCATGGAGGCCCATTTGGGTGTGGCTCATTAAGAATATATTGAGAATCACATTTTTAACGTCTTCATAGATACTGTTTTTCCCCACTATATTCCATTTTGTGCTTCCGCTGAATCCTTAAAACTCTTTATGTCCATTTTAAGTAAAATAAGCTCTACTGGAAGACTTTAATGTTGAGTTTATTTGTACTCATTTAGTTGCATCTGCTTCCCAAAAAATTAGGAGTTAGGTTATAATACAGTGGTGAATAAAACCTGAATAAACATCACTTTCTCTTCTTTTCAGACTGAGAACACAGACAAAACAACAACTCTTGGAATATAAATCAATGGTTGATGCAAGTAAGTATTTTCATTTTCAGATAAAGTTGTATAAATTTGGTGGTGAACAAAACTTTAGGGAAAAGGAAATCAGCTTTACAAAAAATTATTTAGGGAATAGGAGAGGCAGCAAAATGCAATACTATACCGTGTAGGAAGACTGAAAGCAGGCTTACTCAAGCCCTCGGGAACTAGTTAGGGATTTAGAAAAAAATATTTTAAACAGCCAAATAACAATGCAGGGCATTTACATTCTTTTGGTCAGAGTTGTGAAATCCCTTGGGCTGAAGGGATCATAGAACAAGTTCTATCAACAACTTGAAAATCAAATTGGCAAACCCAATGATTGTTAAGTAAGTGATGTGAGACCATTACTTGGAGAAATACTGGATTATAGAAATGATAGGCAGAAGGGAGGTCAACTTAAAGTTGTAAGTGGCAGTTTCTTATTCTAAACACAGAAAAATTAAATTTTCCTTTGAAAATCATGAATCAAAAAATCTCAGGAACCAAGAAAATAATAAATAATGGAATTACATCTTCTGACCATCTGTTGCCACTTGATTTATAAGCGCATGGGTCACAAATATTCTAAAGTCATTTTGTTGAAAAAGAAAAAAAAAAGTACTATAAAGTGGGCCACCTGGCCTCTTTTCTGATTACTATAAATAGAAATTGTAGAACTGGTATTTAAACCTGACCTTCTTGTCTCCAAAGCTCTGACCTTTGCATTATATCAGTAATGCTTACCTCAGAGATGTCTGTTGGTCACTTTCCTCCCTTTGAAACAACTGGTGGTCTCCTTGTTCCCAAAGCTAATGTTTCTTGTATTAAATTAATGTTTATCTCAGAGATGAGAGGTAGGAAATGGCCAGTGCTTTTCTTGACATGAAAGCCCATTTAATAAAAAAGGATAATCTTTATCCTTGGAGAACAGGGTATAAAGAAAAGGTTTTTTCAAAATTTGGACCATTGTGGAATTATCTTTATAGGTATTTTTTTTTTAAGATTTATTTATTTATGCATACAAGAGCTGGGGTACAGGCCAGAGGTGTGGGGGGTGAGAGGATTCCCCAGAGACAGAGTGGGGAACAGAACAAGCAGATTGACTGAAGTACACTGCTGAGGGGAGCAGCAGGTGAGTCAGGAGAGGTCTGCTGCGCCATGTGGGTTGCTCCCTGACCTGCCGGGGGATCAAACTCGTGCTGTAGAGGCTGGGGACTGCTTCATAGGCTGTGTCTTAACTCCTTGCGCCACCAGGGAGGCCCTATAGGTATTCTTACATTCACTCCTGAGTGTTTAATATGTCCCTGCCACCATGTTAGGCATAGAGATGCGATGTTGAACAAGATTTTACCCTTATGGAGTTTACATTCTTATATAGCAAAGCAGGTAAAGAAACATGCAAGGTGATTATGAAGCAAGGTAGAATAATGATGCTTCTCTGAAGGTTACATTAGAGCTAAAATGCAAGTAATTAAGGAATCTACAACCTCCTAAAGTCCTTATTTTCCCTATATGGAAAATTCCATTAAAAAAAAAAAAAGATTTATTTATTTATTTATGCAAGCACTGAGTACAGTCAGAAGTGTGGGAGGGTGAGAGAATTCACCAGAGCGGGGAACAGAACAGGCAGACTGATGAAATACACTGCTGAGGGGAGCAGCGGGTGTGGCAGGAGAGGTCTGTTGTGCCATGTGGGACCCTCGCTGGTGGCCGGAGATTGAACCGGCGCTGCAGAGGCTGTGGCCAGCTTTTCAGCCCAGCGCTCAACCGCTGCACCACTGGGGAGGCCCCCTACCACTAGTTTTCAATTGGATTGTTGCCTTACTGATTTGGCATTCTTATTTATATATAAATCAAGTCCCATTTCTCATAAATGTCTAGTTAGTGTGGATATTTTCTCCCAGTTTGTTGCTTGCTTTTTTATTTTCTTAACAGTGTCTTTTGAGGAGTAGAGGGTTTTAATTTTGATGATGTACAATTTATCATTTATCTTTCTTCTGTGGTTTGTAATTTTTGAGTTTATGTAAGAAATCTCTGGCTACCTCAATGTCACAACGGCTTTCTCCTATGTTTTGTTATAGAATTTTTATGCTTTTTTGTTTTAATATTAAGGTCTGTGATCCTTTTTGTGTTATTTTTTTTTTAAAAGATTTATTTATTTATTTATACAAGCACTGGGTACAGTTAGAAGTGCGGGAGGGTGAGAGAATTCACCAGAGCCAGAGCAGGGAACAGAATAGGCAGAGTGATAAAATACACTGCTGAGGGGAGCAGCGGGCACTGCAGGAAGGGTCTGTCGGGGCATGTGGGACCCCTGCCAGCTGCCGGGGAAGCCATTTTTGTGTTAATTTTTGTGTGTAGTGTAAGGTCAGGCTAAAGATTCGTTTTTCTCATATAGAAATCCAATTTTACAGAACAATTTGTTGAAAAGAGTTACCTTTCTCCATGTGTCTCTATATAACCCTGTTTCTGGACTCCTCTCTGTTCTCTTCAGATATTTGTCTTTCCAGTAAACCATAATGTAGCTTTATAGTTAATCTTGATAAAGGTTATTCTGTGTTCTTCAACTTTGCTCTCCTTTGTCAAAATCACTTTGTTCCAGGTCCTTGGCATTTCTGTGTGGATTTTAAAATCAGCTTATAAATTCCTATAGAAGAAAAAAAAGCCTTATAGAATTTTGATTAAGATTTGATTGGGGCCCGTAAATTAATATGAGAAAATTATTATATTAGCAATATTGATTCTCCAATACTTGTACATGGTGTATCTTTCCATTTCAGTATTTGGTAGTTTTCATTGTAGAGGTCATACACTTTTATTTTGTTCAGGGTTTTAGATGCATTTGTACATGGTACTTAAAACTTTTTCGTTCTAATTGCTAATATATGGACATTTCACAGTGAAAAAGTATTTGCTTTTACTCCCTTTTATCTCCTAAAATTGTCTTGTCCAGTATGGTAGCTACTAATTCCATGTGACTGATTAACACTTGAAATCTGCTTAGTCCTCCTTGGGAAGAGTTTTAAATGTAAAATACGCACATTAAAAATTATTATGAAATATTTCACTAGTAAATTTAAATTAATTACATGTCAAAATGATAATATTTTGGGTCTATTGTGTTGAATAAACTATATTAAAATTGTTTTCAGTTGTTTCATAGTCTGAAAACTAAATGCAAACATTTGATTTGCATGGCTTAAATTTTGTTTCTGTTTGACAAACAAAATTGTTGTAAAATGTTACTAAATTCAAAACATTATTTATTTGTAGATGAAGAAAAAACTCCAGAACAAATCATGCAGGAAAAGCAAATTGAAGGGTACGTCATTTTTTTAAGTTTTATTTGTGGTAATCACTAAGATAGCATATTGCCTCTCTTGTAACATTGCTTTTCATTTACGTTTCCTTTACTTTTCCAAATAATTTGTCATGCCTCTGTTGACAAGTTGTTAGTATGAGATGTATACTTACATGTATGTGAACGGCTATATTAGTACTTTCTGACATCCTCCTTATCAAGAACTTAACATAGTGTATATATCTCAGAAGGTCCTAGTTTACCAAAGGTTTACTTTATACAATTCAGTAATGGCTTTTTCTGATGTTGCTGAAATTCTTTTGTCCATGCTTCTTTGATAGTAAAATTGAAGACCTGGAAAGTGAAATTGAAAAGGTGAAAACAGCTTTTGAAATGAAAAAACTTGCACTGGACAGGTAATTATTGTAAAATGGGTATAGCTAATGTGTGGAGGGGTTATTTTAACTGGTCACAATGAATTAATCAAGAGGAATGATGATTAGATAATAGTCACACAATTCTGAGCTCTGGAAGGCAAATTAAATCTTTCATTAATATCATCATTTGATGAAGTTACATAATACAGGGTTAAGAAGGAAATCTCAATCAACACAGTAAACACCTATATAAGATTAAATCCCATTTAGTATTTGAAAAGGTTACATGGATTCATTGATCTAGTTACTGTTAATCATGTAAAAGAATTGTCTTTGAGTTTAATATATTTTAATTATAGCTTTTGCATCTATATTTTGATATTCTATCAACAAAATCGTTTACTGTGTCCTGGGTTTTGTGCTAGGTTCTGGTATACAACTGTTAATAATATGAACATTGTCTGTTATAGACTTGTGGTCTGAATAATCTCAAGTAACTGAATGACTTGTAATTGCTTCCTTGTATTTCTGGGCTCCTTGAATGAATTTCTTAATACATTTAGTTGAAAAGTAGCTAAAGCCCTTTTAATTGCTTCTAGCAGTGAACTTTTTTCCCTCATATCATGCTGGGTCATTTTATATTGATAGATCATATTTTTTAACTCAGGTGACTTTAAAGCTATTAAGATATCTTCATTTCATGAATTGAACTTTCTTTATTTGCCTTTAAATAAGTTAAAAGTTCGCTTTTAATATCATTAGCTTAGTATCATTAGCTTTTTGAATTTAAAAGTAATTTATGTTTGTTTTTCTGTAGGCGTATTTTAAAGTTTACAGTCACTTGTGACTTTGTATTCCCTAGCTTTTTCCACTTGAAGCCCATGTTAATCTCTGTAGTGCCTTAAAGCTTCCTCCCAGCCCTGTACCGAGGTAGATGGCTTGGAGAGCAAAGCTCAACCCCTCAGCTGGGCCATGTACAGCCATATTTAACAGCCCATCCATCTTGGTTTTATAGATCTATGATTTATTTATAAAAGTATTGCCCATACCATGCTGCTTAAAAACCTATTTATGTTTTACGTTATATTTAAAAGGAAATCATGGTAATGGATGTTTAGCAAATTTAGTGTGGTGATCATTTTGCAATGTATGCATATATTGAATCATTGTTATACAATAAAACTACAGTTATATATCAGTTGTAACTCAAAAGAAAAGAGAAATCAATCTTTAACTTGTCATTTTTTTTTCAATGTACCATAAATGTTATCTATATTTTATTATGCAAGTTTTTTCCCTTTCATAGGATGCAACTTTCGACTGCACTTAAAAAAAATCTGGAGAAAGTTGACATCAAGACAAGGTATGTTTTTTGTTTTGTCTTTTTTTTTATCCTGGACTTAGTAAAGGTGGCATCTGTACTTTGATTTTGTGTTTTTGTTTTTGTTTTTTAAGATTTATTTATTTATGCATATAAGAACTGGGGTACAGGCCAGAGGTGTGGGGGTGAGAGGATTCACCAGAGACAGAGTAGGGAACAGGCAGACTAACTGAAATACACTGCTGAGGGGAGCAGCAGGTGAGTCAGGAGAGGTCTGCTGCGCCATGTGGATTTCTCTTTGGCCATCCGGGGATCAAACTCATGCTACAGAGGCTGCGGATTGCTTCATAGTGTGGTGCTTAATCCCTTGAGCCACCAGGGAGGCCCACATGTAGTTATACTTTTGTCAATAGCCCTAGACTGTACACCAAGAATTAACCCTCATGTGAATTGAACTATGGACTTTGGGTGATAATGATGTTTCAAATGTAGGTTCATGTTTTGTAACAAGTGGACCACTCTGGCATGGGATTTTGATAGTGGGAAGGCTGTTCAGTTGGGGGGTGGTAGGGCAGAATATGGATTTATCTTGCACTCAGTTTTACTGTGAACCTAAAACTATTCTGAAAAATAAAGTGTATATCAAAAATAAAGGGCAATTTAGCAAATTAGTTTTTCTCCCCTAAATATGAGATTTTTAAAAAAAATGTTCCTATATGCCTAAGTTTTATATTTTTTATTATCTGTGACCAAAAACTTTTCTAGGGAAAGGCATGTCTAATTTTAAACAGAAATTTAGTTTACATCAAACTTTTCTAAAATTTATCTTGTTAAATGATGACTTTCTATTGACATGTACATTGGATACAATGAAATATATGCTAATTCATTAATGAAATTTTTTAAGTAGGATTAATAGACTTTTTAAAATTCTTTTTCAGTGTGCTCATAGATAACATGAAACACATATTGAAGCTAAATAATTTAATAATGAAATCACAGCAGGTAAGTTTGCATGTTAGGTTGCCTTTGAATTCTCATGATTTTGGTAACAACTTATTGATTAAATGGTATCTCCTAAAGGAACTGCTAGGGTTGGAATTCACTGTCCTTAAGTTTTCTCTTTTTCTTAACTCTATAATTTCTGACTAAGCAAATAAACTTTACTAATTATGTACTTACTATGTTATTGTTCTCTCTCTTTTGCTATGTGGAAATAGAAGATTTAAAGACTGCAGCTTTAGAAAAAACAAATATATAATGTTCAAGGATATGTATTCCAGGTTTGTGCATTTTAACCTTTACATTTCTAATAACAGGTATCTTGGGATTTGGAGGAAAAACTGCTTGATGTTAGAAAGAAGAGGTTACGTATGTAGAGCACTATTTTTTTTATACAACGTATTTCACTTACAATGGAGATTGATAAGACCAGATCGCTCAGCTACTGAGAATTATTTTTCCTTTTTTAAAGAATTCAACTGCTATTATGGGGCATCCATGGTGGCGCAGCGGGTTGAGCACAGCGTCCGCAGCCTCTGCAGTGCGGGTTTGATGCCCACCTGGCCAGGGAGATACCCACATGGTGCGGCAGACCTCTCCTGTCTCGCCCACTGCTCCCCTCAGCAGTGCTTTTGGTCCATCTGCCTGTTCTGCTCCCTGCTGTGTCTCTGGTGAATTCTCTCATGCTCCCACGCCTCTGGCCTGTACCCCAGCTCTTGTATAAATAAATAAATAAATCTTAAAAAAAAAAAAAGAATTCAGGGCCTTCCCCGGTGGCGCAGCGGTTGAGCGCTGGGTTGAGAAGCTGCCCGCGGCCTCTGCAGCGCCGGTTCGATCCCCGGCTGCTCCCCGGCCACCAGAGGAGGGTCCCACATGGCGCACAGACCTCTCCTGCCGCCCGCTGCTCCCCTCAGCAGTGTACTTCATCAGTCTGACTGCTCTGCTCTCCCCTCTGGCTCTGGTAAATTCTCTTACCCTCCCACACTTCTGACTATACCCAGTGCTTGTATAAATAAATAAATAAATCTTTTTTTTTTTTAAAGAATTCAACTGCTATTGTAATGCAAGACTTTTCTTAAGAATAGAAATTTCTTAATTTTCTTAATATTTTGTACACAGCAATTTTCCCCCAAATTTTACAGATTTATCGGTTATTTACACAATTATATAATTTTGAGAGTCCAACTTCACACCATGATATGTGCACCTGCTTCACTCCCAAAGCTCCAAAGCTCACCCAAAGCTCCAGTGGGGACATGGCAATTTAAAAAGTATACAAAATATGTATTATTCTATTTATTTTTGTTGTTTTAGACTTCAAATTACAAATGAATAGTTTCTCAGTGGGGAAAAATCAGTTGATAGAGAAAAGTATAATGTAAATGTCATGTCTCTCTCTTTTTTTTTAAAGATTTATTTATTCATACATACAAGAACCAGGGTATAGGTTACAATGCGGGAGGGTGAGAGGATTCACCAGAGACAAAGCAGAAACAGAACAAGCAGACTGAAATACCCTGCGGAGGGGAGCAGCAGGCGAAACAGGAAAGGTATGCCACGCCATGTGGGTTTCTCGCAGGCTGGCTAGAATCGAACCTGCACTACAGAGGCTGCAGATAGCTTCATAGCATTGCGCTCAACCACCTACACCACCAGGGGAGGCCCTCATGTCTCTTTTTTTGTGTGGGCAAAGTTAGGCATGTATCATTCCAGGCTACTTTCTATGTCCATATAAACATATTTATAAATGTATGATTTTTATTGATATTTATTTTTTAAAGATTTATTTATACAAGAACTAGGGTACAAGTCATATGTGTGAGAGGGTAAGAGGATTCACCAGAGACAGAGCAGGGAACAGAATAGGCAGACTGACAAAAAACACTGCTTAGGGAGCAGCAGGCGAGACAGGAGAGGTCTGCTGTGCCATATGGGTTTCTCCCTGGCTGGCCGGGATTGAACCCATGCTGCAGAGGCTGCGGACATCTTCACAGTGCAGCGCTCAGCCGCCTGCACCACCAGGGAGGCCCAATGTATGATTTTTATTTTATTTATTTATTTTTTTTTTTTATAAAGAGGCATGTATTTTATTTATTTATTTATTTGTTCATTTGCACATGCACTGGGTACAGTCAGAAGCGCGGGAGGGTGAGAGAATTCACCAGAGCCAGAGCGGGGAGCAGAGCAGGCAGAAGGACCGAAGTACACTGCTGAGGGGAGCAGCGGGCGGCAGGAGAGGTCTGCGCGCCATGTGGGACCCTCCTCCGGTGGCCGGGGAGCAGCCGGGGATCGAACCGGCGCCACAGAGACTGCGGGCAGCTTCGCAACCCAGCGCTCAACCGCTGCGCCACCGGGGAGGCCCCCAATGTATGATTTTTAAATGATCAAAGTGATATATATGTTTCTGTGCTTTTCAACTTAATGAACATGAGATGCCTTTTGCTTTGAAATTATTGAAATATTTATTTCAAAAGTAACATTCTCAGTAGAAAATTTGGAAAAAGCATATTTATGAAAAGTGTTTAATTTGGATAAAGGAAAATTGGTCTCATTTTATTTTGTGTTGTAAACTACTTTTTTTCATTTATCAGTATAGACATGATTAATTGCTTTTAAATATACAGATTTGTAGGTAATCTCAGAGTTGGAAATAGTCTTGGTCATCTAATCTAATCACCATTTATTTTAATTTTTTCCCTCAAATTTCATTTGTCAGTTATTCATTTAGCTATTAATTAGAAGTTTAATTTTTCATTACATCCCAACCTGCTTTTGATACATTAATTAATGTTAAGAAATCAAACTCTTCAGACACATCCATTTGCAATTTTCAAATACTTTTAATTCTTAAATGTTTTGGGAAATAAAACAAAAAAAGAGAATGGAATCTTTCTATTGAAAATATATCTTGTTTGGTATATTAGTTTTTTTAATAAAGGAGAGGAAGTATTTCCTTTTATATTTATATCTTGCCAACCCAGAGTATGTCCTCCTTGGCATTATGCTATTTCAAAGATTTGTAGATTGCTGTCATTGTCACACATGCATACCTTGAACATTTCACCAAGGGTACAGCTAAGAAGAAAATTAATAGATTTTGCACTCGGGAAGTTATTTTCAGATCAAAATGCAACCTAAAATGCTGCTCATTTAAAATTTTTCTTCACTGAAATAACCAGGAACTATTCTGCTTCATAATTTTTCAAGGTACTTGTTTATAAAGTTATTATTTATAATAAATTGTTTTATTTTTAATTTTATAGAATTAAAACAAGCCTCAGAAAGTAAGCTTTTAGAAATACAGACTGAGAAGAACAAACAGAAAGATGGTATGGACAGTATGGAAAATTCAGACAAGATAAAGACCATACAACAAAACCTACAGACGGAAATACAAATTACTACAGTTATTCAACATGTGTTTCAGGTAACACTTTTATAAATTAGGAAGGGAGTTAAACAATTTTTTTAAATGATAGATTTTGTTACATTATTAACTTCCAGTTTTTGATCTTGACAATATAATTTACTGAATATTATTGTTTTGACATACCTGGGATTCATCTATCTTTTAAAATTTAAGTCTTTGATTTTTCATTATGGTTCTACTTCAGCATTTATAAATGGAAAGATTTTAGCAGCTCTGAGCAAGTAGAATGATGCAATCTACAGAGCATCAAGCTCCAAATTAGAAATTGGGGGAAGACATGGATAATGTGATAGGAAGATAAAGTTGAGATTCTGACTGCTACTTTACTAGTTGCTAAATCTTGAACAAATTATTTAAATTTCCTAAGCATCAGTTTCCTTATTAGAGAGACTGCATATGAAAGCCAAAGAAAATAATTCATGCTAATGTGGTAGCATGGTGTCTGGTTTGAGTAAATTCTCAATAAATAGCACAGTTTTTAAGTTTTGTTAATTTGGGGCTTTGTTTATTTTGCATTTTAAAAGGATGAGTAGGAAAAGGAGAAAGGAAAAGAGGGGTGAGGGGCACCTGCATAGTCACAGGCAGGCAGAGATCCGCCCAGTTTTTAAGCTTTATGTATTTCTTCTGGGTGTTGTTTTTAAAGTTATAAAATATCTCTGGAACTATTGATATGAAACACCTAAATTGCCATTGTTCAGTTAAGAAAATTTATGGTTCCATGCTGCCTATTATGTGTAAAACAAATGCCTACTGTGCATAAAGCATATCCTTGTAGAATGTGAGGTCATATATCTCACCATAAAAATTCTTCCCCAGATTTTGCACCTCCTATTTTAGTAGCAATTGGTGATTGCATTAGGAGTGACCAAATCCCCTACTCTAACCTGGAGTGGATGATTGTATCATAAATACAGAATCATTTTAACTTCCTTTGACACTGTTTCCTTCATACTGCTTTCACAGTTATTTTGAGTTTAATTTTTATTCATATCTAAATTACTATTTTTTTTTTAGATTTATTTATTCATGCATACAGGAACCGGGGTACAGGCCAAATGTGCGGGAGGGTGAGAGGATTCTCCAGAGACAGAGTGGGGGGAACAGAACAGGCAGACTGACCACGTGGGCTAGGTCCCTGGATGGTGGGGATCAAACTCGTGCTTTGCTATAGTGGCTATGAATAGCTTCATAGTGCTGAGACTTAACCCCTTGCACCACCAGGGAGATCCCTTAGAATATTTTTATAGACAATGGAGGAATGCTTAGAATCATAATTAATTAAAATTCTGGTCATTCTTTGAAAATCTATGGCTCAAGATACAGTTACTACTTGAAATGCTACTGAAAACGGATTTGAAGTGTTATATTACTATATAAAAATATTTAAAACTTTGGCCTGTATTAAGCACATTGTTATAAAAATATGAAAGGTCTAGTATATGTAAATCTAGTCAAATTTACAAAGACAGTTGGAAGTGTGTATTCAAGCATGACTAAATCCTCTAGTTGAACTTAAGAACAAGAGACTCCTAAAGTAGGCCAAAACTGTGTCCTGCTTGACAATGCAATGACCTCACTGAATCAAAATTAATAGTAATTTAGGGGCCTCCCCTGGTGGCGCAGGCGGTTGAGTGCAGTGCTATGAAGCTCTCAGCAGCCTCTGCAGCGCAGGTTCGATCCCGGCCAGCTGGTGAGAAACCCACATGGCACGGCAGACCTCTCCTGTCTTGCCCACTGCTCCCCTCAGCAGTGTATTTCAGTTGATCCACCTGTTCTATTTCCCACTCTGTCTCTGGTGAATCCTCTCACCCCCCACATCTCTGGCCTATACCCCAGTTCTTGTATGCATAAATAATCTTTTTAAAAAAAATATTCTAAGTATTTTTCAGGGTCTTAAAACTGCAAGGACTGAGAATGAAACTTTTGTCTATTCTTAAAATAGGGCTTATTATTTACTCTTAAATTACTGGTTTTTAATCATGGAAGTAGGAAGTGAATTCTTGACCATAGCTAGTCTTTTTCCTTTAATATAGCATGCACTGCAAATATCCAGAATAAGTAAAAACTAGCCACAAAAACTGATAAAGCATTAAAAAACTGTTGTAAATAAGGGTACTAGAAGGGAAGGTGGGTAAATCATATTAAGTGGGTCAATTGTATTGTGGTAGATGGAATCTAGACTTTTGATAATGAATATAATGCTAAATTATATTGATGTTAAATTATAATGCTGTATACCTGGAATCTATAAACCAACATTACTCAATTAAAAACACATTTTAAATATGGTAAGTATTCCCTGACATTGTGGGGATCAAGACTAAAGCTTTACTGAAATTAGAAATGAAAAAAAATTAATGCTTTTTCTCATGATCACAGCAAATGTGCAAATCTAGTAAATGTTCACTATTTGATAAGATTAGTGAACAAAGATTTTTTTATCATGTTAAATTCTAGAAAGTGTTTATAACTTTAATTTTTTTTTAATTATAGAACCTCATTTTGGGGAGTAAAGCCAATTGGGCAGAGGATTCTGCTCTTAAGGAAACTGTTCTGCAACTTGAGAAGAATCTCACCATGATCTAATAAGAATTCTCTTTTGGCATTTCTTTGTTCTTATCTTTGATATGTCATTTATAAAGCAAATTTCAGTTGAAGTATATTTTCAGTGTTTTTGAATCTATTCTAATACTGTTTTTTTTTTTTTAATTTTTAGTTAACACTATAACTTGGGCTCTATTATTTTAAATATAATCGTTAAAATGACTGGCATATTCCTAAAAGAGTGAAAATATTAGCCTAAAATATATCAATACCAGCTTTCCACTGTATGTGAATGTTTTCCCTACAACATTCCTGGCATTCCCAACTTTCCTTAGGAATACTTACATGGGTTTGTTTGTCAGCCAGAACATTAGAAAAGTATATTCACTTATTTGAATAGAGACCTAAATAAAGCATTTCAACCTTGAAAAAGAGAGAAAAAAAAGCATATATGAAATGTTAACAGTTACATTAGGGGGATTGTGTCTTTTCTGTATTTCTATATTTAGCATGCTTTACTTCTGTAAACTAAAAAATAAAAAGAATGTTACTCTTCTTTTTACAAAATAAAACTTGCCACCTTTCATATCACCCCATTTCATTTTTTTTTTTTTAATTTATTTAGTTTGTTTGTTTGTTTGTTTTGTTTATACATGCACTGGGTACAGTCAGAAGCGCGGGAGGGTGAGAGAATTCACCAGAGCCAGAGCAGGGAGCAGAGCAGGCAGAAGGACCGAAGTACACTGCTGAGGGGAGCAGCGGGCGGCAGGAGAGGTCTGCGCGCCATGTGGGACCCTCCTCTGGTGGCCGGGGAGCAGCCGGGGATCGAACCGGCGCCGCAGCCGCGGGCAGCTTCGCAACCCAGCGCTCAACTGCTGTGCCACCTGGGAGGCCCCCATTTCATTTTTAAAAGCTATAATTTTACCTTTTATTAATTTGGAACTGTTGTGATCACTTTTATGTTTTTTTTTTTTTTTTAATGATTTATTTATTTATTTATACAAGCACTGGGTACAGTCAGAAGAACGGGAGGGTGAGAGAATTCACCAGAGCCAGAGCAGGGAACAGAACAGGCAAACGGGTGAAATACACTGCTGAGGGAAGCAGCGGGTGCGGCTGGAGAGGTCTGCGCGCAATGTGGGACCCTGGTCGGCAGCCAGGGATCGAACTGGTGCTGCAGAGGCTGCGGGCAGCTTTGCAGCCTCGCAGCCCAGCGCTCAACCGCTACGCCACCATGGGAGGCCCTATAATGTATTTTTAAGTGTTCTTTTTGTAAGATCTTTAAATTTGAAAATATGTACTGCAGCAAATGACAGCATTTGAAATTTGTTCTCTTGATCAAAAAAAGAGTATGATTTGCCTGGAATTTAATTCTGAACATTCTTTGGAATAGAGTTTTCATCTAATTTGGTAAGTAATAATTTCTGTAGTTTTATTCTTTTCAATACAGTATATTCTTGGAAATCGTCTGAATAATTGTGAGACAAGTTCTGTTTTTCTTATAGAAAAAAATTCTTGAGCATTTGTGATGGCCTAGGGGTTAAATCTCAGCACTCTCACTACAAAGGCCTGAGTTTGAACCCCCACCAGGGAGTTAACCCACATATGGCGCAGCAGACATTTCCTGTCTTGCCTGCTGCTCCCCTTAGCAGTGTATTTCAGTAAATAACACCTGATCTGCTCCTCACTCTTTTTCTGGTGAATCCTTTCATCCATGTACCCATCCCCCCTCACCTACATTCCAGTTCTTTTACTCAATTAAAAAAGAACAATCTTGAAAATATCTTTTTAGTCCATAGATATAGCAGAAAGTAAATCATACTGATAAGTGTGCATTTTATTAGTGTGTCCCAATCCAATGAATTATCAGCAACATCTGAAAATATTTTTGCATTTTCCTGGGATTTTATTGTCTTTTGAATCGCCACTTAAAGCTCAATGCTGAGAGAGAAATTGTATTAGTCTGCTTTTCCTAAAATTGTGTTGAATAATCCCTAAATCTCAGTGGCTTATGGCAGCTGCTACTTTCTTGGATCCGTGGTTTGACTGATCTTTCTGGGATCCAGACTGAGCAGCCACTGTTGAAACAATGTCTTATGAGGCCAAATCAAATTATACAAGCACAGTTAGTTTCTACTCAGAAGAGATGTATAATTATTTCTACCCAGGTTCCACTGATCAAGCCCCACATCATTGGGACTGGAAAAGTGTACTCTTGCAGTAAGGGAGTTCTTGGTTTCAGAGTAGAGGGAAGAAAATAGATATTTGCTGAAAAGAATATGTAGCATGGTGACCTGGGGGTCTTAGTAACAACCTTTTGCTCAGTTCCTGGTATGCAACTTAGTTCCTGGTATGAATCTTGCTTCATGTTAGCCCATGCTTGGCCATGAGGCAGAATGGAACTTGGGTGGGAGGTCCCATGACTACTGACCCTTTACTCCTTTGTATGCAACTATACAACTCACTTCTTGGCATATAGCCATGGCATATCTGACCATGTACAGCTGCCAATGCAAACCCAACCGGAACCCTATAAAACTAAAAGTGTATATAAGCCATGACTTCCTACAAACGGGACTCAGCCTTCGGATGCAAATCTGCTGAGTCAGCACCCGTACAATAAACTTTGTTAGCCCTGGTGTCCAAGTTTCCTTTGTGCCACAGTCTCCTATCTTGGTCTAAAATACTAACTTGCCTTCTGCATGTAAAAGACACACCCCTCCACAAGAAAGATAAACTACTACTATGGTCCAATTACAACAGTTCCAAGGTTCAGAGTTTCACTATCATCTTTGATATCACATCCAAAAGTGGCTCTTCTTGATCTGGAGACCTATGAATTAAAAGGACAAGTTATATTTGCTTCACAGGTCTGCAACAATTCTGAAATACTGCTTGAGGAAAAATAGGATCCTTTGGTTAGATCTAGTCACATGATTTTACAACCTAACCAGTTTAGGAATAATATTCCCAGTTTGGGAATATTAGAACTAAATCTGTCACATTTCCTGGTTCTTACACAGGTAGAATTGACTATGAATGCATTATTTTTACTCCTATCTTAAAAGATAGTACATTGCATTCTTCTGTACCTTACCTTCACACAACCCACTCCCAAGAGAGTTTTCCATATCACATAAATTCTTCACAAAATAAACAGTTGAGTCTTCCTGGTGGTGCAAGGGGTTAAGACGCAGCACTATGAAGCTATCTGCAGCCACTGTAGCAACAATTCGATCCCCAGCCAGGGAGGTGACCCACATGGGGCAGCAGACCTCTCCTGATTCACCTGCTGCTCCCCTTAGCAGTGTATTTCAGTCTGCCTGTTCCCCACTCTGTCTCTGGTGATTCCTCTCACCCTCCCACCCCTGGCCTGTACCTCAGTTCTTGTATGCATAAATAATTTTTTTTAAGATTTATTTGTTTATACAAGCACTGGGTAGTCAGAAGAGTGGAAGAGTGAGAGAACTCACCAGAGCCAGAGGGAGGGACAGAACAGGCAGACCGGTGAAATACACTGCTGAGGGGAACAGCGGGTGCGGCAGGAGAGGTCTGTTGCGCCATGTGGGACCCTCGCCTGCAGCCCGGGACCGAACTGGCATTGCAGGGGCTTCAGGCAGCTTCGCAGCCCAGCGCTCAACTGCTGTGCCACCAGGGGAGGCCCCATAAATAAATCTTTAAAAAATTTTTTTCTTGAAATAATTGAGGTTGATTGCCTTTTAATATATATATATATATATATATTTTAGAGGCATGTTTTTTATTTGTTTGTTTGTTTTGTTTATACATGCACTGGGTACAGTCAGAAGCGCGGGAGGGTGAGAGAATTCACCAGAGCCAGAGCGAGGAGCAGAGCAGGCAGAAGGACCGAAGTACACTGCTGAGGGGAGCAGCGGGCGGTAGGAGAGGTCTACGCGCCATATGGGACCCTCCGCCGGTGGCCAGGGAGCAGCCAGGTGTTGTGCCCAAGGTCAGCAGACTCGGCGAGCATAGCCTCCAAGAACCCAAAGACAGCTGATGCAAACACAAAAGGGAGTTTATTTCAGACTCGAGTCCGGGTTCAAGGCACCTACCAACGCAGTGGCAGATACCGAGAGCCCCGAACAAAGGAAGCAGGGGTCTTTTAATAAGGTTAAATTATGCTGGCAGTTACTCATTGGCTACAAGGATGAGTTCTCCAACTTTGCCAGGCTATCATTCTAAGCTGACTGGCCAGGCCAAGATGCAGCTCCAACCTGCAGCTCCAATTACAGCAAGTTTACCCTCATTGGTGACCAGAGAGTAAGGGTGGAGTGAGGGTCCAAACTATCTCTGGAATGCAGTCTTTTCCCGGGACAGCAAGACCTGCAAGACCTGAAATTCTAAAATGGCAGTTACACACAAAATGACAAAGCAATGGCTAAGAATATTTATGCTTGGTTTCACATTTCCCCATTTTTTTTTTTTTTTTGTAAGAACTGTTACAAAGCAAAGCTATGTGAATCAATAAGAGGGAGGGGAGCACATCGGGAGTGGAGGACCATGAGCTGAATGGTTTGTAATTATGTTTTTTTTTTTTAAGGAGATTTTTATTGATGTAAGGCCAGATACTGCTGCCTCAAAACACCATCAGCGGCCTTCAGGTACCCAGTCTATTCAGGCACAGCTGACTGGTTCACAGCATTCCTTACAGGTCTCAGTGGAACTTACTCAGTCTTACTCATCTGCAATGTCATTATCAGAGTATCTTTCTGTTATAGGGCAGCCCCGATATAAAACAGGTTGTCTTTTCCCCCTAACATTTCTACTACAGAAGTAAAAAGCTGCTCTAACATTAACTAAGATTCCCAGACCTTAAAATATTATTCCTCCTGTACAAACACTAAGCCATTTCAAACCTTTACATAACCAGAGTTCTGTAGTATCAGGCCAAGCACAAATTTATTCTATAACACAGCTACCAAGCCTTTTATCAGTAGGTCAGTCTCAAAATTATGGTTAAGTTCAGCCACACATAATGTGCTATGTATTGTTCATTTACAGGTTTATAGGTCCAGCAAAGTTGAAAAATTGTCATTTTTATACAAAACATTGACTTTTTTCTTGGGTCATTTCAGACCACGACCTCTGAAAATCAGACGCTAAACCATCTATCTAGTCAGCAAGAGGTATTATCTTCAGTTACAAATGAGAATTACTCTGCTCAAACAAGGGATTTTTTTTAGTTAGCCAGTCACAGAGTTATTCATCTGGTCACTAAACATCAGTTATTGAATAAAACAGGCTGCCGCCACCAGTCTTAATACCAATCCCTTCTTATTTCCTCCTTGCATAGGTGAGTCTGCTGCTCTAATTAAAACACTCTCCATTATTACTTGAAGGAAACCAAGGCCAACGTTAACACATTTCTTTAGTTGTTTTTATCTCTGAAGCCTTCCTAAACTCTTCAGAGGTCCCCTCCTGCACTGTCCCTAAAACTGCCTAATTACCCTAACTTGTCCTATGTCTTAGTCCTCCCCTTCTGCGAATGGAACCCTTAACTGCAGTCAGGGAAAGGGGCGTCGTTCTGATCAGTAACTGCTTCCTGCTGAAAGTGGGCGATGAGGGGAAA